ATTTGTACATGTACGATATATTTTGTAATTTGCCATTTACAATACGAGTCGTACATGTACAACCTCCCACTGTCGCTCGATATTCAATTCCACGTCGATACATAGGGCTAGTAAATTGTACAATTTTATATTGTACTTGTACGACTTCTTCCATGGAAAATTTTCCTGTACCCGGTACGACAATTTTTCACAGTGTTAGCTTTGTCGCACCTCAAAACTCTTTTAGGACGTTAAACTATGAATTATTTGAAACAAAAATCCGAGCTGTCCAGATCGGTTTTCCGAAAAAGTGGTTTTAAAAACTGGTCTATTGTAAGTCCCAAAGACGGTCACAGGGGTTCGTCAATATGACGCCTCAAGTAACTAATTTGCGCAAGGATCGCCATTTGCGATGTAAAATGAGCGTTAATGACCCGGAAATGACTTAGTTACTCCCATGTTCTCCTTGGGTTGGCTCGTAATCAAATGGATGTAGTCCTATCAAGATATAAAGATTTTTTAATTCAAAGATTTCAAGAGCGTGTGCAATTATTTGCTATTTTAATGAGGTGCATTTTACAACAGTAAACAGTATAGTGCAGTTTTTACACGTAGCTTGAGTTTATGTTAGTGCTGAAGTCTTAATAGCTCCTAAGAAGGAATAATGGCATTGTTTGTTTTTTTTAGTAATACGATTTTCCTGTAGAATATCACGTCTTTGTCTAGTAATGGGTCAACCGTGCCATGAGATAGAGAAGGAGAGAGAGAGAGAGAGAGCGCACGCGCGCAGAGCTAGACGTAACGGAGCAGCCCGCCGGGTTTTATCAAAATATACACACACAACCTGGTGGCGGCGTGACATTGAAACCGAACCGCGTGCGTTGTGGGATATCCCCACTGTTAAATTCCTGCAGTGCAATGCTTTGCAGAACTGAGAAGTAGTTTGATCCTTTGTAATTACGAAGCATTTACTTTGCAATACACAGTTAAAACCGTACGTAAGGTTGTAACAGTGTACAAAGTGATGCTTTGCAATTGCAGAGCAATGCAACACGCTGCAAAGCGTCACTTTGTAATTGCAAAGCATCACTTTTTAATTGCAAAGCATCACTTTGTAATTGCAAAGCATCACTTTGTAATTGCAAAGTAAATGCTTCGTAGTTACAAAGGATGTAAATACTTTAACAGTGTCGGCATGCATGGCTGCTCTTACATATTCGACCGGCGCGGAGATGAAGTGTTGCTGTATCTCCAATTAAAATCAGCGATAATTTGACGGAGCGCGCCGCTAGCCTAGCTGTTGGTGCAGCCTCGTAACCGACGCGCGGGGCCGGTGCCGGGACCGGATGGGGTCAAGCAACCCCTCTTCCCCCATCTTCCCCCCTCAGCCTCTGTGATAAGCGCTGACTTTTGGGCTCGGTGTAGGCCGCCCATGGGCCCGCTGCTGGACCGCTGGGCCATGGGTGTGAGGGGTGCGAGCTTCTCTAGTTGCGGGTGATCCGCGCAGGTCTGCGGAGGCGAGTTCGGGCGGGTGCCATATAGGCCTGGAGGCTGTCGCAGGCGCGCCCCTGTGGGCAAGTTGGGGTCGCGAGGGGGTGGGGCGCAGCTATATACGGGGCGGCGCAGCATGGACGAGGCGGAGGACCGGGTGCCCCTGCTTCAAGGTATCGACCAGAGCGGGTTCTTATTCTGCTCCCCGCTGTCCGATCCGCATGGCGCCGGCCTTTGCGAGCAGATGTGACGCTGCGATCTACTTATGGCTAGCTGATTGCGGGGAGGAGACGCATGGACTGCCAATAAATTGTCCACCTCGGATAAGTAATTTTCTATCCCCGCGCGAATTGCCAGTTTGGTATTGTTGTTGGCACGGCGGAGTAAACAACTTGCTCCTCAATATCGGATCCTCTATTTGATTGCGACACGCATTGCGCGGGAGCTGAAAGTGATGCAAGAAGCTCCACGGGCGCCGTAATCTCAACAGGTGGACTCATCTCCTTACCCTGTTGAAAAAGGATGTGTCGCCTCTCTTTTGCGTCCGCCTTCGCTATCTCTGCTCTATTTGTTTAGGTTGTACACAGACAGACCCCGCTGGATCGCCTGTTCGGCAGAGCCTTGCGTTTGGGGTCCGGAGGCCGGCCGGCCAGAGGCCGGGCGGTTCGGCCAGAGGCCGGCGAGAGGCCGGGCGGTTCGGCTTGGTTCGGCGCGCAGG